TGTTTTTTCACTGGAATGATTTATATGTGAACCGAATGCGACGCACTGTGATAAGCAGTGCACAAATTGAAGTTATACTATATGCTTTCATCGTGGGACGGATACGTGTGAATGCAAAGGTTCACAGGATATTTTCAATTAAAGATCGTGAAATATATCGATATGCTCAGAAAACGAAGTGGTTCTAGATGCCCTCACTGGTAACGGGGCTTCTGACAATATAAATAGTCTACTGAAAAAATGATATTGATACGAATTTTTTTTATCGCTTGGAGCGCACGAAAGGGAATCCCTATAATGTTCACAGGTATACAAGGTGATTTTCCAAGGTGGTTCAACTTATTAAAGACAGTGGAACGAAATTAGGGGGCTGTAGATTATAGTTGAATCGAAATTTTTTTGTATATCTGCTTGCCTGCCGTAATCTTGGTTTGACTGGAAATGACCACATATTTCGATTTTCAAATGGGACACTCTGTATTTCATTCCATGATCGGTTAAGGATTATCATGACATTGGAAAACCAGTTATATTGGTGTCCTGAACAACGTTCCAAAAGTCCCCAGATGTACGGGGTGATCATCAAAATTCTGAATCTTGAACCTCCAATTGAAAAGCATTAGATAGATAGTTAATCAAAAGTTAGGATTGAGAAATTCAAGCCGATTTGACTGATAATGAATAGTTTCCACACAAAAAAAATCCTGAAGTTGAATAATTTCGATTTTGAACAACCTTTATCTCTGTAATCATTTCCGCTAAACTCCAAGTGTGATGTATTGATGAAATCAGCTCTTCAGAGGGAATTTGAACATGCAATGAAATACAGGGTGTTTTATTCGAAATATCAAAGTTGCTACTTCTTTTTGGTAGAAGCGGTAACACCTAGAGGTCGCCAAGACAAGAATTCTTGTCTTGATAACAACTTCTTGTCTTGTCATGAGGCAAAGTCAAGAAATTTCGAAGAATCTTGCCATGACGTTTTTCTTGACATATTATTTCTTGTCTTGACTCAAGAAATTTCAAGATCTTGAAATTTCTTGATTGACCAGTGACACCGTACATGATGATTCCCCGGCGAACTTTTTGATGCGTTGCGTGCCAGGGTTGCCACCTCGATTTTTATTTCATCAGTAGATATACCTCGTCAGATATTCAGTAGATTTCAGTAGATTTATTTCGTGCTATACAAATTTCAGGATAATGGAATGAAACTATGACGTCAAAGAAATATGTATTTTTCTGTAAGCGGAGAAAAGTTTGACATCTTATCTGAGTTGACAGGTAACAAAATGTCACTACTCATAAAATAACTTTTTTCCTGCGAGAAAAATGAGTATTTTCTTAGCAACATATCAAGCGTGCCCAAATATCAACCAAGATATTATGGGAGCATCTCTTTGCACCCACATCTCGTTGGGGCCACATTTCGTTGCAGCTACATCTCGTTGCAGCCACATCTCGTTGGAGCCACATTTCGTTAGGCCCACAGTCTCCGAACGTACCCGAACGATGCGCTGTTGCCACATATAATTCAAAAATCTCGATTATACTGAAAAGGTTATTGTGGCCCTAACGAGACACTCTCATCTTGATCAATCCACGTTTCTTTCAAGCTACATTTCGTTGCACCCACATCTCGTTGGGCTCATTTCTCGTTGGAGCCACATTTCGTTGCAGCTACATCTCGTTGCAGCCACATCTCGTTGGGCCCAGATTCGGCGACCCGGGTTCAATGCCTGAGACGGTCGGCATTTTTTTATTTTGTTTTCTCAAGTGATTTTCCGAAAAATATAATTTTTAGGAAGAAGATTCATTTAGGCCGAGTAAGGTTAGTTGGTTTAAAAAAGTAGTGTCCTTTTTTATGCAGAGGGATATTTTCCTTCCTGAAAAAAGTACTGTCTTTTTAGGAAGAAGGTTCATTCAGGCTGAGTAAGGTTAGATGGTTTTAAAAAAGTCTTCTTTTTTATCCTTCCTCGCTGAAAAAAGTACTGTGGAGGCATTTACTGTGCTGTTGAGGCTGATAGTGATTCGCTATTTCAACGATATTATTTCAGGATCGGTCGTGAGCGAAGCTCATGCCCGGAAATTTTCTATTAACCTGATTCTGCACCAATTAAGGGTATTGGTTATTTACCTGTGGCTCCAACGGGATGTGGCTGTAACAAAATGTGGCTTCAACGGAATGAGGCTCCAACGAGATGGAGGTGCAACGAAATGTGGCTTGAACGAGATGAAAGTATACCGCAATGTCTCGTTAGAGCCACAATATCTTTCTCAGTAAAATAAGGAACCTTGTGACAACAGCGCAGCTTTTGAGTACGTTCGGAGACTGTGGGCCCAACGAAATGTGGCTCCATGTGGCTGCAACGAAATGTGGCTCCAACGAGATGTGGCTGCAACGCGGCGCACTCGATATTATGACTATACAGAGTGGGCCGTTGAGAACGAAACAGAGGCTCTGTAGGTCGCCAAAACCGGATTATAAAAAAAATCTGAAACACGTCAACTATATTTTCGAGGGGGACATCGTTCTAAAATATTTTCAGCCCTGCGGCGTTGCCGCTTCTAGAGAAAACAAGCAACAACTTTGTTATTTCAAATGGAACACCATGTAATTTATTGTATTTTTAGATTCTTCCCGAAGAGCTGATTTCATCAATGTATCACACTTGGGGTCCAGCTGTAATGGTTTCAGGGATATAAAGTGTTCAAAATCGAGATTTTTCAACTTTAGCATTTTTTTGTGTCGAAACTATTCATTATTGGTCAAAACGGCTAGTTTCGACACAAAAAAATGCTAAAGTTGAAAAATCTCGATTTTGAACACTTTATATCTCTGAAACCATTACAGCTGGACCCCAAGTGTGATACATTGATGAAATGAGCTTTTCGGGGAGAATCTAAAAATACAATGAAATACATGGTGTTTCATTTGAAATAACAAAGTTGTTGCTTCTTTTCTCTAGAAGCGGCAACGCCGCAGGGCTGAAAATATTTTAGAACGATGTCCCCCTCGAAAATATAGTTGACGTGTTTCAGATTTTTTTTATAATCCGGTTTTGGCGACCTACAGAGCCTCTGTTTCGTTTTCAACGGCCCACTCTGTCAAACAACCGCAAGATCATCCTTGACGATTCCAAGAAGGTTTTCGTTTTGTGCTAGTGATCAATCTTATGTGATTAACTTAAGACCAATATTAATAGGTGACTATGATAATAAATACGTGTCATTTTTTTTAGTAGATTATGAATGTTTCAGTAGATCAGAAGATCATTATGCAAATCAGTAGACCTCTTGAAAATTAAGTAGAAATAGCAACCCTGTGGCGTGGTAACACGGCAATCTGGTGGTTCTCCGATCTTTATTATTTCTGTTTTCTGACAGAAGCAAACGACGTTGCGCACTTGCAATGATGTCAGTTTGTTAAATGGTGGTAAAATGTACGTTATATTGATATTTTCTCTTATTCCATCATGAGTAATGAGTAATAAACTCACGTGTCAGCTTTTTCATTCTGAGTGAAGAAATCTCAAGATTTCTTAGTTTCTTGACAAGAAATCTCTGTATCGACATAATATTTCCTGTTTTGTCTTGAAATCTAAAATCACTTCTTGTTTTGATCTTGTCTTGGAATCAAGACACGATCAAGACAAGATCTTGACATTTTCAAGGAGTTCACGACCCCTAGCAACACCGCATTATTGAAATTATTTCAAGAAGATGAAGCGGGTTCGTTAATGAGATTACTTCAACTTTCGAAAAAATTCATTTGCTGGTACGTTAGGAACGTCTAAAGAACCGTTTCAGTCAATCACATTGTATAGTTGTTCAAAAAGTCTAGAACAAGTTGATATTACTCTTCTAAGATGACAAATTTGGAATTTCCAAGATATTATCTAGAAACGAGTCTAGAAATGACCAGCAGAAGTCTTGAATGTTTTGTTTAGTAATTTTCTCTGGATATAAATTCGATGAATATAATGATGATTTTAATGATATGAAATGATTCAATATGAGGATGTGAGTTATACCTGTATATAGGAGGGTGTTTCATTATGAAACGGGCATACTGCAAATTGAACTAGAAGATATCTATGGCATGAGGTCGAATCAACTGAACTATCTCTAATTCTCAAAGTCTTTCCTTTTCCAATATACAAGAGGTTTGGTGATCTTTCAGCAAACACTTTGTTTCATTTCCTCCGTAGATGCTTCGTTCGTTATCTGCACAGGCATTTCATTTTTGAGAGTCGAAACATTCCTTGATAGTTTGATCAACAAACCAAGGTCTAAACTTGAAGGAACTTTTATGTTGAAATGAAATGAAAATATATGATATTCCTCCACATTCTTCGATGTTTTAATCAAGAAGACCATCAAATACAAATATATTCCAGACTTCATCGTTTCACTACGTATATGTATATAGTTTTGGAAATCCATTAAATTCACAAAATTATGGATAGATGGAGTATCATAAGTCTTCGAATGTTCAATTCATATTTCAAGTTTGATTGACTTTCGAATACAATGAATTTACTTTACACCTTCTGAAAAAATGATGATCCAATGATAGGTAGGTAGGTACATAAAACGGGATATTCTGCAGTTGATTTTGGATATATTTTACCTGAGTTTAAAAAACCAAATTTGATTGATTTTTCATCTCAAATATCCAGGAATTTGAAGACTATCACTAGTGGAATGGATATGAAGAATACAAATGAGTTTGGTTGCTTGGTTGAAGAGCCATCGCAAAGAGAATTAGAACATGATTTCCAACAAAACATCAACAAACTTCTTGTTTATCGAAAAAGGAAAAACTTTGAGATACTTGAGTAGGTGATTCGAGTTCACCCCGATGTACCTCAACTCAGGTTGCAGTATATCAGTTTCAAGATGGAAGGTGTGAATCAACATAAGAAACTGAAGGACGCAAATTAACTTCTGAAATAATGATATCTATGACCGAATATAGATGAGAACAAAATATTTACCATTATTTGGAGCATCCGGTATGAGATCCGGATTGTTATCATCAGAGATTGTGTCCGTATACAGTGGCTGCACGTGAGGAGTGTGAGGGCTCTCTTCCATTTTCGGACTTCTCGACCTGGAGTTCCTCACGGGACTGTCCACCTGAAATAAAGACAATGGCATTTCGGGTAGAAAAATATTAAGATAAAACACAGGCGATGCAGAAGAGATCATGGGTCTCGAACGCTTTTGTTGGCTATATCGATTATATCAGCAAAAAGCTACTATCTATTTGATGATTATCGTCAATCAATTGAAATTCTCCAGAGAATCGACCGTATGGTTAGTAGTCACTTCCCAGACGATTTTTCAAGATGGTATCATTTTTCTGGCCTATAGTCCGGGAAGTACATGTTTCCAGACTAGACCGGAAAGAACTACATCATTGTTATTGTTATCCACATAATAACCAAACTATAGTATGAAAATCTAGGTATGCAGTTGATCATAGTGTTAGCAACAAGATAACGTCTTAACCAATTTCACATTGGAATATAGTTGATGATTCGTTTTGAAAAGTTCACAAGGTTTTTTTTTCGCGGAGAGTGCCGAATAACTGGAAGTAGCAGTAAAAGCGAGTTTGAAAATGTGTTTGATAAAATGGCCAAACAAACAGTAGCATTAACAGCACAATTATCACCAGAAGAAAAAAAGAAGAATCGAATGCTAGGTGAGTATAAGTTTGTTGATTTGTTCACAAAATACAGATGGATATAGAAAATGCAGAATTTTTCAAGATGATGTAATTCTGACTAATTTGTCACTAATATCAAGAGTTATCAAAATCTGTGGAGCATGTACTTCATGCTATGCTGAAAACTAGGTACTATCCCAGTCATGGAGTGAGGAATAATGTAAAACTTGCTTTGTTGGTTGCCGAAAAAGTTATGTACGCAACACGACTAGGAATTATTATTTGTGCAAATAGTGCAAATATTAATTAACTACTTTGTCTTCTCAAGAGAACAAGAATAATTGAGTAACTTTTTGTACAATCATAGACAACATTCTTTTCCTGCAATCGTACACGAAGAGAGTATACTCCGCGTTTTTTACACTGTTCGCGAAGTACAACTTCGCGGCCGTTACCCATAGCAAGGGCCGCCAAACCAAAGCCCACTTTCGAATTCGACATTCCTAAAAGCAAGGTTATTGAGTGTCAGATCATGGTCTGATTATATTTTAGTTCTGTCAAGAACTGTCAAAATATTTTGTATTTATTGAAGATGTCATTTCAATTATTTATTTCGATATAATTTTGACGATTTCACGAAAAATAGTGTGCATACTGTTAGGGCGGCTCTAGAATACCTTGTATGCAAAACGTGATAACAGCGTATCGGTGGGCATCGCCCTAGCTTCTCAGGTAATGCACTAGCCGTTCACTCGAGGCAGGTGTTCCGCAGGGTTCTTGCCTCTCACCTCTGCTATACACCCTATGTACGCACTATTTCCCTGTATTCGAGCGAACGAGTACAGCATTATACGCAGATGATACTGCGTTAATATGCTCACTCGTACGACTCGGATATTGCCAGACAGCAAATCCAGATACATCTGGACAGGGGAATCGTGACTTACTTTGACGAGTCGAGGCACGAAAACGGAAGTGATCAGCTTTCATTGAAAAATCAACAATTCCAAGCTGCACAGACAATTGACCGTCAAAGGGGTCGAGGTGACAGATATGTTCTCCGTGAAATATCAGGGGTCAAGCTGGACATTTATATGAATCTCAGATCGATTATCTAATTAAAAAAACTCGATGTGATTCAAGTAGATGTATTCGCTGTTATCCAGGACCTCTCCACCTCCAGTGGAGAATAAGGTCCTGGTGTACAAGCAAGTTGCTAGACCTGTGATGACATACGCGTGCCCGGTGTTCTGCAGCATTCCACCAACGCCCATAAATAAATTGCAGGTGCTGCAGAAAAAAGTACTCCGTATAATCACCAGAGGTGATCGATACTCGCGAGTGGCAGATCTTCACGAGAGGTGATAATTTGCCAAGAATTACAGACTTCATAATTGAAACGGCCGACTAGTTTCAATATCACCACAACGCTGGAAGTGACCTTACCCGGAAGATAACATAAACCAGACAACACCACAGCTAACATACATAAAAAGCACGAGCTGATATATGCATCAACTGATGTTTTTGCAGATCCTGGAAATCTATAGCTGGGAATTTCTTCGGAGCATCGCAGCAAATGCGTGGCTCCAGAAAAGATCTAGACTGCACAATCACACGAGACATGAAAATAAATAGGGTCAGATCCCATCCAAAGTGACGATCTGACACTCAACTCGGTCAGTAGGGTGCGTGCTCTATCGCCCGATGTCTGGCCCACAGCCAGGAGTGGGCCGAGCTATACGAGCAGGAGGTTTTTATTTTTCGATATTTCATTTTCCTCCATCTTCTTCGAACCACCCACCACTGATAGCAATCGATCAGTTCCCCCACCCGCTTGGGTAACCTCAGTGAGATCACCTATATAAAGGGCTTGGCCCCAGGAGATAGGCCTCTGAGACTAACACTTCACAAATACATGCACTCACATTCCCTGGCCAACACCAGCCACCTCTGCACCACGCGGAAGACTCATCACCAAGCTCTGAGCTTTAGCAAGATGTCCTGCTTTCCTCAATGTGAAATGTGATTTTAAGCCGAGTTTGATAACCCATCGATCCTAGATCGCGAATATCTCACCGCAAGCCTATGTGTAGAAATATCTTGAATAACTCCTAGTTGGGAACACTTACAGACCTCGTCAGTAGTTATTGATGCGAATCTCCTGAAGTACTCGCCTTGTGTGCAAATATATCGAATAATTCAGTTCTGTGTGCGAATACTTGGAGAACGCACCAGTGGCAAATGATGCGAATTTCTCAAAGTTCTCGAAACAAGGTTCTCTATGCGAATGCCCTAAAGAACTCGCCTGAAGGTATTGTATGTGAATTTTCTCGTTGAATATCGCTTAGACCACGTTGAGAATATTCCGGTGGCAGACATTTGGAGAAAAAATAGTGCTCTCGGCAACCGCTCAAAGAAGTAATAAAAGGCGTCACAATTTCCTGGGAGGAGGTTGCCGAGATATCTTTAAGACCCCTTTGTGTTGGCTGAGACAGAAACCAATAAAGACGTGTCCAGGGAGTCGGCCTTGCTTCCTACGGAGGAAAGGTTATCACTGCGGCGAGCCACGTTTTATTTATGTGGTTGATACCGATTGACATATTGGTTTTTCTTACCACTTGTCTCGGCGATTTTCTTGATAACAGTCCAGAAGTTAACACTTTTGATGATCACTGTATAAGTAGTATATAAGAATGAAATTATGTGCACGAAAAAACACTTCTAATGCAGAACATTCCATAGGAGGACACGTACTGTTTGTTCAGTTTGCATTATATTTGATGAGATTCTAAGAATGCGCGACCTCCAATTATCTGAAACTTCTTTTGATTTCACCTATCATTCCGTTCGAGCTTTACCCTTATCAAGAATATCGATTCGTTTATGCAGGATCGCGAATGAGAAAAACTCGAAGGCAGGGATGTACTTGCCTACAGTAGCGTAGATATATTCGATAGAAAGGGAAATCAACACCCAAGGAAAAAGAGAAATAAATGAAAATAAGATATCACCACTCATCTTAGATCTCATCTTGAGAATTTCAATAGAATAATCTTGTACACCATTCGAAAGAATAATAATAAAAAAGGAATTATTAGTGCAAATCTGATATTCTTTCAATTTACTCATATTCCTCTTCTATAGAAATGAATATTCCACTTTTCGATCAACCTATTGTTAGTATCGCGAAATACGAATATAATGTTATTCAAGATTTGCTGAAAATATCCGAGGTTGAGGTATATAGGCCTGTATTTATAGTTGCTCCTTAAGACGGCCTTGTCCCTCAAGGTATCCTTGTGAACCATTTTCTATTTCATAGTCGTGATATGGGCTCGAAGGAAGCCTCAAGGAAATGTCAATTCCGAGGGTGGTATGGAGAGGTACCTTGAGCGTTCCTTGAACATTCCTTGATCCATCTTTAAGTATTATTTCAAGGCTTGGATCATATGTTTCAGGGTTTCAGGTTATATTATGAATATGTAGGTATATTTCGATACTCATACTGTGATTGCATTTATGGTCCTGCAGTTCTGGAACATGATCAAACGCGTTTGCAGAGAATTCAAAATTCATGTATAAGATTTTCACTATAGGCATTCGTTAGTTCGATCTAATTATCCAGTCGTTTCACGATACAAAAAACCTGACACTCCCACTGCTACGTAAATTACTTTTTTAACAAAAAAAACATTATAGTAGGAGACATGAATATAAATTTATTATCAGACAATGCTGATATTTTGAATTATAAAAGCATAATAGGAAGCAATGATTTCCGTATTGTAAATGAATTGAATCCAACTGATTGTACTAGAAATCAAAATAATTCCTTTAGTATTCTAGATCATATACTGACTAACTGTCATAATTTGAATTTGAAAATTTCATTGGAAAATACTTCCATAACTGATCACAGAATAATGTTCACGTCAATTAACAAACTCAACCTCAACTTGGAGAAATTTAGAAAACGTGAAATAGTAAGAATTGATTGCTCAAAATTCAAACAGATCGTCTCTGATCAATTAATTCAAAGTGAATATGAAGAATTTGGAGATTTAATTAATATCATTTTGAAAGCAAAAAATCAATCATCATCGAAAATGTACCTCAGAACACGTGAAAACAATGAGTGGATAAATAATAATATTATCGAGGAAATGAAAATAAGAAATATCAAATTCGAAAAACATAAACAAAATAATGATAATCCAGAATTCTTCAATGAATATAAAATACAAAGAAATAAAGTGAATGCTTTGATCAAACGAGCAAAGGCCCAATATATCAATAAAAAGGAGAAGAAGAGAAGACTCTGAAGGCAAACCGAAGAAAATGTGGGATACAATAAATTATTGTCTTAGAGATGGATCAAGAACTAACAAGAAAAATCACATTGAATCAATAAAGGTTGATGATACAATTGTTAATAATGATTTGGAGATAGCTGAAATTATGAATA